AACGAATGGGCGACTAACGTCTGGGCGACTGTAACGAATGGGCGACTAACGTCTGGACGACTAACGTCTGGACGACTAACGCCTGGACGACTAACGTCTGGGCAACTGCAACGTCTGGACGACTGTAGAGTCTGGGCGACTGTAAAGTCTGGGCGACTGTAACGTTTGGACGACTGTAACGTCTGGGCAACTGTAAGGTCTGGGCAACTGTAAAGTCTGGGCGACTAACGTCTGGGCGACTAACGTCTGGGCGACTAACGTCTGGGCGACTAACGTCTGGACGACAAAAGTCTGGAAGAATGTAACGTCTGGACGACTGCAACGTCTGGGCGACTGCAACGTCTGGACGACTGTAACGTCTGGGCGACTGTAAAGTCTGCGCGACTGCAACGTCTGGGCGACTAACGTCTGGGCGACTGTAACGTCTGGACGACTAACGTTTGGACGACTGTAACGTCTTGCCAACTAACGTCTGGGCGACTGTAAAGTCTGGGCGACTAACGTTTGGACGACTGTAAGGTCTGGGCAACTGTAAGGTCTGGGCGACTGTAAAGTCTGAGCAACTGCAACGTCTGGGCGACTAACGTCTGGGCGACTGTAACGTCTGGACGACTAACGTTTGGACGACTGTAACGTCTTGCCAACTAACGTCTGGGCGACTGTAAAGTCTGGGCGACTAACGTTTGGACGACTGTAAGGTCTGGGCAACTGTAAGGTCTGGGCGACTGTAAAGTCTGAGCAACTGCAACGTCTGGGCGACTAACGTCTGGGCGACTGCAACGTCTGGGCGACTAACGTCTGGACAACTGTAACGTCTGGGCGACTGTAAAGTCTGCGCGACTGCAACGTCTGGGCGACTAACGTCTGGGCGACTGTAACGTCTGGACGACTAACGTTTGGACGACTGTAACGTCTTGCCAACTAACGTCTGGGCGACTGTAAAGTCTGGGCGACTAACGTTTGGACGACTGTAACGTCTGGGCGACTGTAAAGTCTGAGCAACTAACGTCTGGGCGACTAACGTCTGGGCGACTAACGTCTGGACAACTGTAACGTCTGGACAACTGTAACGTCTGGACGACTAACGTCTGAGCGACTGTAACGTCTGGACGACTAATGTTTGGGCGACTGTAACGTCTGGGCGACTGCAACGTCTGGACAACTGTAGAGTCTGGGCGACTGTAAAGTCTGGGCGACTGTAAAGTCTGGGCAACTGTAAAGTCTGGGCGACTAACGTCTGGGCGACTAACGTCTGGGCGACTAACGTCTGGGAGACAAAAGTCTGGGCAACTAACGTCTGGACGACTGTAACGTCTGGGCGACTAACGTCTGGGCGACTGTAAAGTCTGGGCGACTGTAACGTCTGGGCGACTAACGTCTGGGCGACTAACGTCTGGGCGACAAAAGTCTGGGCAACTAACGTCTGGACGACTGTAACGTCTGGGCGACTAACGTCTGGGCGACTGCAACGTCTGGGCGACTAACGTCTGGGCGACTGCAACGTCTGGACGACTGTAACGTCTGGGCGACGAACGTCTGGACGACTGTAACGTCTGGGCGACTAACGTCTGGGCGACTGTAACGTCTGGACAACTGTAACGTCTGGGCGATTGTAACGTCTGGGCGATTGTAACGTTTGGGCGACTAACGTCTGGATGACTAACGTCAGGAAGTCTGGGCCTCTCTCCTCTCTGCCCCCCTCTCTCCTCTCTGCCCCCCCCCCTCTCCTCTCTGCCCCCCCTCTCCTCTCTGCCCCCCCTCTCTCCTCTCTGCCCCCCTCTCTCCTCTCTGCCCCCCCCCCCTCTCCTCTCTGCCCCCCCCCCTCTCCTCTCTGCCCCCCCCTCTCCTCTCTGCCCCCCCTCTCTCTCCCCCCTCATCTCCTCGTTGGAATGTTTCAAGTCTCGTCTTAAGACCAGTGGGGGCGGGTCCCAGCACAAAAGTTGCCAAAATGACGTGCGCTGACATGCTGCAGTACCACCCCGGGCCTGTGGGGGTGGACCCAGAAGAAGAATTAGCCAATGCTAACATATAGCATTAGCAGACCTCTGGAAAACGTCTTTACAGGATGGACCAAAAGTTGTCTCTTGGCCCAAAGCTCCGTTCCACATGTGTGTCAATGCTGAGTGTTCTGGACCAGTCTAGTTTAGTCGCTGTGGACTTTAGAAGTCTCTCATTCAAATGAATGGAGCTCTCTCCGGCTGACGCATGTTTTTTCCCAATTTTCTTGTGGGCGGGACCACTCGCGGCCATTTTGGATAGCTCCAGTAGAGCACATTTTTTGGCCCATTAGTTAGAACGGCGCAGATACTGACTCTGTCTGTTTATATATACAGTCTATGGCAGGGCTGGACTGGCCATCGGGCGTACCGGGCAATGCCAGAAGGGCCGATGCCCATATTTGGGCCGGTCTGTCTGCCTCATACAAAACACATGTTTGTGAAAAGTGTAAATCCGTTGAGAACTGTTCGAGGGGAGAGCGCGTGTCCGCGGGGCTCCTGCTGTATGTACTGGAACGGGATTCCACCACCTCAGCGGCCGCAGTGTTCCCGCATCCAGCGGCTCTGAGCTGGACGCGGGAACCGCTCACAACACAACACGGTGAGCGCGTAGCCGCAACGTGACCATGTACCCAAGACCATAAACGCGCACAGGACCATGCGTGTCTTTGCGTAATTTGTGCACCCAATAAATACACCGCTGCAGGAAACAGTCCGCGTCTCCCCTCTCCTCTCAAAGTGCGACTAAATTAAAGCTCGGGTACCTAAATTTTCCATTGCATTAAAAGTTCATGTTTGAGCCCAAAAGTAAAATGTTGTGAAAAAATCAAACAGATTTAGAGCCAGCAAATGGCTGACATTATGCATTTCAGACTTTTTTGACCAATTCTCATGTCTGTGCCCACCTCCCTCACTCTGAGACATGTTTATTACTCTGTTTAATGTAGACTATTGCACTTTATTTTATTGTTGAAACCACAGACATCCTGATCCTCTACAGTATGCTTCCACATACTGTATAAACCAGGGGTCGGCAACCTTTAGTGCTCCTCCAGTGGCTCCTGGAGCCTTTTCAAAAATGTCTGAAAATGGAGTGTGAGGGCTATATTTTATTCCTAGTTTGAATGTGGTTTCTGTAGGAGGAAAAACAATCCTAACGTATTTCAATGCTGTAAAAATGTGTATAAGTAATATTCAATTTCAACATTTCTGTCAACGTAGTGAGTCATATCCTGTGGCGCGGCCCCGCGGCAGGCGGCCGCTGCTGTAAACAAACCGGCGTGTGGCACGGATCCCAAAGATAAAGAGAGTCGATAAGACTGGACTGAGAATGAGAATGAACATTTGCTTTCAGTCAGTGAGGAAGGACTGCTTCATGTTTGCGATGTAATAGGAAGTTTTGTTGCAACACGAGGAACAATGAAGCACTAAACACCGTTCACAGGGATTACGTGAAGGATTCTTTCATACAAAATCCGGAGCACCTTTTTCAGACTTCAAAAACCTCCGCAAAGACTGTGAAAGAAAAGGACATTCAGCTCCAGCAAACTTCAGCCTGTGACGTGATCGATATGAGCGGACAGTGCAGGTGTGTGACCTTTGAGCCAAAAAGCAGATTTATTTACTGTATTTCTACAGTTGCATGAAGGCAAAAAAATGGAAGTCAAAGTTAAAGCAGAGTTGTCACGTGGTGCGTCATTCTCTCCAGGACACGCTGCAGTGAAAACACATATTTGACAATCATGAATGCTTATTATGTATTTGTAGCCTTTACTTGGTCATTTAGATATTAGGCTAATGTAGCTAATGTAGCTACATTGTGTAACCTTCATATAAGCTTTATACAAGGCTGTTATTTTTTTGCGGCTCCAGACAGATGTTTTTAGTTTTTTGTCAAATATGGCTCTTTGAACCTTTTGAGTTGCCGATCCCTGGTATAAACAAACTGTAAAAAACGTGACCAAAACATGCCTGGGCCGGTAAGAAGGAAAAAATGCCCGGGCCGTTTTTTTGTCCCAGTCCAGCCCTGGTCTATGGTTCAGACCTACTTTTATTCTCTGGCTTTAACTCTGTGGTCGTGTGTTTTTATTTGTTTTTGCAGCACTTTGGAAATGTGCGACATAAACAAAGTGGATTGGAGTCTGTCAAACATCAAAGCATGGAGCTGAGGGTCCAGTACGGTGGTCTGGTCTCACCTGGTCTCACCTGGTCTCACCGGGTCCATAGTCCTGGTTGCTGGTCTCACCTTGTCTCACGGGTCCATAGTCCTGGTTGCTGGTCTCACTTGGTCTCACGGGTCCATAGTCCTGGTTGCTGGTCTCACCTGGTCTCACGGGTCCATAGTCCTGGTTGCTGGTCTCACCTGGTCCATAGTCCTGGTTGCTGGTCTCACCGGGTCCATAGTCCTGGTTGCTGGTCTCACCGGGTCCATAGTAACCTTGCCTGCAAGATGAATTCTCGCGGTATTTGTGAGTTCACAAACACTCGAGAATACATCTTGTACCGCTCCCGCTTACACTTTTCGAGTCGAACCACTGGGTGTGCGAGCCAATCACGCGCCAGTCTGGGGGTTTAGGGCGGGATATCCGGGTTTGACGAAAGCAAGAAGTGCCGGGCCGAAGCAAAACAAACATGGCTACGCAGGAGGACGGACGCGTAGCTGAGGCTATCAAGTCAGTTTTAGCAGTATCTCCAATTTCTTTTTTGAAAGATGAACAGCGAGAGGCGCTTTGTGCCTTTCTGGACGGCAACCTTGGTAGGCGGGCACACAGCGTCACTTCGCCCAATCAGTTTGAAGTATTCTGCTGCTTATCCCTCCTTTCCCCGAAAGGATTCTCCGGGAGAAATCCCAGATTGATATCGTGGAGAACGCGTTAGAGTTCTACACAATCATCAATCTGGCTTTTGCCAGGTTAGGTCCATAGTCCTGGTTGCTGGTCTCACCGGGTCCATAGTCCTGGTTGCTGGTCTCACCGGGTCCATAGTCCTGGTTGCTGGTCTCACCTCGTTGTCGCGGTCCTTCTCCAGGAAGTGTCTTGCCACGTGACTGGGCAGAATGTTCCGGAGCATGTTCTCGTTGTGTTCTCTCAGCTCCTTCATCTCGTTTATCTCCTCTTTGGCCTGAACCCTCCACAGGAAGTCCAGCCGCGCAGTGTACTCCAGCTGGGACCAGAGCGAGACCAGAGGTGAGGGACCAGAGAGAGACCAGAGCGAGACCAGAGGTGAGGGACCAGAGGGAGACCAGAGAGAGACCAGAGAGAGACCAGAGAGAGAGACCAGAGCGAGACCAGAGGTGAGGGACCAGAGAGAGAGACCAGAGCGAGACCAGAGGTGAGGGACCAGAGAGAGACCAGAGAGAGAGACCAGAGGTGATGGATCAGAGAGAGACCAGAGAGAGACCAGAGAGAGAGACCAGAGGTGATGGATCAGAGAGAGACCAGAGAGAGACCAGAGAGAGAGACCAGAGGTGATGGATCAGAGAGAGACCAGAGAGAGACCAGAGAGAGAGACCAGAGGTGATGGATCAGAGAGAGACCAGAGAGAGACCAGAGAGAGAGACCAGAGAGAGACCAGAGAGAGACCAGAGAGAGAGACCAGAGAGAGAGACCAGAGAGAGAGACCAGAGAGAGAGACCAGAGAGAGAGACCAGAGAGAGAGACCAGAGAGAGAGACCAGAGAGAGAGACCAGAGAGAGACCAGAGAGAGAGACCAGAGAGAGAGACCAGAGAGAGACCAGAGAGAGAGACCAGAGAGAGACCAGAGAGAGACCAGAGAGAGACCAGAGAGAGACCAGAGAGAGACCAGAGAGAGAGACCAGAGAGAGAGCAGAGAGAGAGACCAGAGAGAGACCAGAGAACCAGAGGAGAGACCAGAGAGAGACCAGAGAGAGACCAGAGAGAGACCAGAGAGAGAGACCAGAGAGAGACCAGAGACAGACCAGAGAGAGACCAGAGAGAGACCAGAGAGAGACCAGAGAGAGAGACCAGAGAGAGACCAGAGAGAGACCAGAGAGAGACCAGAGAGAGAGCAGAGAGAGAGACCAGAGAGAGAGCAGAGAGAGAGACCAGAGAGAGACCAGAGAGAGACCAGAGAGAGACCAGAGAGAGACCAGAGAGAGACCAGAGAGAGACCAAAGAGAGAGACCAGAGAGAGACCAGAGACAGACCAGAGAGAGACCAGAGAGAGACCAGAGAGAGAGATAGTGTAGCCACAGCTGCCCTGGGGCACAGACCTGCTGTCCATGGTAGAACACCGCCAGCAGGAACATGGCCATCAGCAGCAGAGACGTCTCTTTGGTCCCCAGGAAGTTCCTGCAAATCACCACACCTTCACTGACATCTGGTCCGGGTCTCGGTCCTGGTCTCGGTCCTGGTCTCGGTCCTGGTCTCGGTCCTGGTCTCGGTCCTGGTCTCGGTCCTGGTCTCGGTCCTGGTCTCGGTCGGTCCTGGTCTCGGTCCTGGTCTCGGTCCTGGTCTCGGTCCTGGTCCCGGTCCTGGTCTCGGTCCTGGTCTCGGTCCTGGTCCTGGTCCTGGTCTCGGTCCTGGTCCTGGTCCCGGTCCTGGTCTCGGTCCTGGTCTCGGTCCTGGTCTCTCCTGGTCCTGGTCCTGGTCTTACTGGGTGTTGTGGTGCCGGTCGTATCGTAGGAACAGGGAGGTGTAGAAGGCCTCGGTGAGAACAGAGTAAACTCCCATCATCAGCAGAAGGATGCTCAGCTTCAGCACCGAGTTCAGCCGCAAGAACACAGCACAGGTTACCATGGCGAGGACCCCCGTGAAGATAGAGTACTACAGGTACACACACAGGTACACAGGTTACCATGGCGAGGACCCCCGTGAAGATAGAGTACTACAGGTACACACACACAGGTACACACACAAGTACACAGGTTACCATGGCGAGGACCCCCGTGAAGATAGAGTACTACAGGTACACACACACAGGTACACACACACAGGTACACAGGTTACCATGGCGAGGACCCCCGTGAAGATAGAGTACTACAGGTACACACACACAGGTACACAGGTTACCATGGCGAGGACCCCCGTGAAGATAGAGTACTACAGGTACACACACACAGGTACACAGGTTACCATGGCGAGGACCCCCGTGAAGATAGAGTACTACAGGTACACACACACAGGTACACAGGTTACCATGGCGAGGACCCCCGTGAAGATAGAGTACTACAGGTACACACACACAGGTACACAGGTTACCATGGCGAGGACCCCCATGAAGACAGAGTACTACAGGTACACACACACAGGTACACAGGTTACCATGGCGAGGACCCCCGTGAAGATAGAGTACTACAGGTACACACACACAGGTACACACACACAGGTACACAGGTTACCATGGCGAGGACCCCCATGAAGACAGAGTACTACAGGTACACACACACAGGTACACAGGTTACCATGGCGAGGACCCCCGTGAAGATAGAGTACTACAGGTACACACACACAGGTACACAGGTTACCATGGCGAGGACCCCCGTGAAGATAGAGTACTACAGGTACACACACACAGGTACACACACAAGTACACAGGTTACCATGGCGAGGACCCCCGTGAAGATAGAGTACTACAGGTACACACACACAGGTACACAGGTTACCATGGCGAGGACCCCCGTGAAGATAGAGTACTACAGGTACACACACACAGGTACACAGGTTACCATGGCGAGGACCCCCGTGAAGATAGAGTACTACAGGTACACACACACAGGTACACACACACAGGTACACAGGTTACCATGGCGAGGACCCCCGTGAAGATAGAGTACTACAGGTACACACACACAGGTACACACACAGGTACACAGGTTACCATGGCGAGGACCCCCGTGAAGACAGAGTACTACAGGTACACACACACAGGTACACAGGTTGCCATGGCGAGGACCCCCGTGAAGACAGAGTACTACAGGTACACACACAGGTACACACAAGTAGTGGGTACGTGACCAGTAGTGCAGTGCTTCGACAAGGGGCACAGGTACAGGACAGAGGTACAGAGCACAGGTACAGGACAGAGGTACAGAACACAGGTACAGGACAGAGGTACAGAGCACAGGTACAGGACAGAGGTACAGAGCACAGGTACAGGACAGAGGTACATGACACAGGTACAGGACAGAGGTACAGGGCACAGGTACAGGACAGAGGTACAAGCCATAGGTAAAGAACACAGGTACAGCGCACAGATACAGGACACAGGTACAGAGCACAAGTATAGGACACAGGTACAGCGCACAGATACAGGACACAGGTACAGAGCACAAGTATAGGACACAGGTACAGAGCACAAGTATAGGACACAGGTACAGAACACCGGTACAGGACATGTACCTCTGGGTAGAAGCAGACGTCGAGTACGACCCCTGACATGTCGTACGTCTGGTTTCGCGGCGCGTTGGGTTTATCAAAGTCACACCACAGCTGCAACACAGAGTCACACAGAGTCAGACCACAGCTGCAACACAGAGTCACACAGAGTCAGACCACAGCTGCAACACAGAGTCACACAGAGTCAGACCACAGCTGCAACACAGAGTCACACAGAGTCAGAGCACAGCTGCAACACAGAGTCAGAGCACAGCTGCAACACAGAGTCACACAGAGTCAGAGCACAGCTGCAATACAGAGTCACACAGAGTCAGAGCACAGCTGCAACACAGAGTCAGAGCACAGCTGCAACACAGAGTCACACAGAGTCAGATCACAGCTGCAATACAGAGTCACACAGAGTCAGAGCACAGCTGCAACACAGAGTCACACAGAGTCGGAGCACAGCTGCAACACAGAGTCACACAGTCAGATCACAGCTGCAACACAGTCACACAGAGTCAGAGCACAGCTGCACAGTGTGTCAGGGGAGTGGCCTGTGTATGTCAGGGGCGTGGCCTGTGTGTGTCAGGCGGCGTGGCCTGTGTATGTCAGGGGCGTGGCCTGTGTATGTCAGGCGGCGTGGCCTGTGTATGTCAGGGGCGTGGCCTGTGTATGTCAGGGGCGTGGCCTGTGTATGTCAGGGGCGTGGCCTGTGTATGTCAGGGGCGTGGCCTGTGTGTGTCAGAGGGAGTGGCCTGTGTATGTCAGGGGCGTGGCCTGTGTATGTCAGGGGCGTGGCCTGTGTGTGTCAGAGGGAGTGGCCTGTGTATGTCAGGGGAGTGGCCAGTGTATGTCAGGGGGTGGGCCTGTGTGTGTCAGAGGGAGTGGCCTGTGTATGTCAGGGGCGTGGCCTGTGTGTGTCAGAGGGAGTGGCCTGTGTATGTCAGGGGCGTGGCCTGTGTGTGTCAGAGGGAGTGGCCTGTGTATGTCAGGGGGTGGCCTGTGTGTGTCAGAGGGAGTGGCCTGTGTATGTCAGGGGAGTGGCCTGTATGTCAGGGGTGGCGCCGTGTATGTCAGGGGCGTGGCCTGTGTGTGTCAGAGGGAGTGGCCTGTGTATGTCAGGGGCGTGGCCTGTGTGTGTCAGAGGGAGTGGCCTGTGTGTGTCAGAGGGAGTGGCCTGTGTGTGTCAGAGGGAGTGGCCTGTGTATGTCAGGGGCGTGGCCTGTGTGTGTCAGGGGCGTGGCCTGTGTGTGTCAGAGGGAGTGGCCTGTGTATGTCAGGGGCGTGGCCTGTGTGTGTCAGAGGGAGTGGCCTGTGTATGTCAGGGGCGTGGCCTGTGTGTGTCAGGGGCGTGGCCTGTGTGTGTCAGAGGGAGTGGCCTGTGTGTGTCAGGGGGCGTGGCTAGACTCCTCTTCTCATCCACGTGTGACACTCACGATGTTGATCATGGCGGCCAGGAAGTTGATGAGGATGGAGAGGCAGACGATGGCGGTGCGAGCGGACGCCGTCTCGTTGACCCAGCAGCACGCCGTCCGCAGCACCAGCGGGAGACACTTATAGTCCTCTGCTGTAGTGACCAGCAGGAGGCAGCAGTGCAGCACGATCAGGGCCGAGAACTGGACCGCCATGGTCACCGAGCTGAGAGAGAGAGGGAGAGAGAGAGACAGAGAGAGAGAGAGACACAGAGAGAGAGAGAGAGACACAGAGAGAGAGAGACACAGAGAGAGAGAGACACAGAGAGAGAGAGAGAGACACAGAGAGAGAGAGAGAGAGACACAGAGCGAGAGAGACACAGAGCGAGAGAGACACAGAGAGAGAGAGAGAGAGACACAGAGCGAGAGAGACAGAGAGAGTATAATTGAAGCACTTGCAGATGAGACATGTACAGACTCAGCAGTTCTCATTGTACAGTCTGACAGCAGCAGGAATGGACTGGACCAGTCCTGGTCCAGTCCTGGTACAGTCCTGGTGCAGTCCTGGTCCTATCCTGGTCCTGTCCTGGTCCTGTCCTGGTCCTGTCCTGGTCCTGTCCTGGTCCAGTCCTGGTCCTGTCCTGGTCCAGTCCTGGTGCAGTCCTGGTGCAGTCCTGGTCCTATCCTGGTCCAGTCCTGGTCCAGTCCTGGTCCAGTCCTGGTCCTGTCCTGGTCCTGTCCTGGTCCTGTCCTGGTCCAGTCCTGGTGCAGTCCTGGTGCAGTCCTTGTCCTGTCCTGGTCCAGTCCTGGTCCAGTCCTGGTACAGTCCTGGTGCAGTCCTGGTCCTATCCTGGTCCTGTCCTGGTCCAGTCCTGGTCCAGTCCTGGTCCAGTCCTGGTCCTGTCCTGGTCCTGTCCTGGTCCAGTCCTGGTCCAGTCCTGGTGCAGTCCTGGTGCAGTCCTGGTGCAGTCCTGGTCCTGGCCTTACCTGGCGGAGGGCAGCAGGCTCTGGATGGACGTGATGAAGATGAGGACGATGAAGGCACAGACCAGGTTGGACTTGAAGACCTCGTCCCTCATTTGGGAATACTGCAACCACAGAGAACCTTAGAGCTATCATAGAGCTGACCTAGAGCTGACCTAGAGCTGACCTAAAGCTGACCTAGAGCTAACCTAGAGCTGACCTAGAGCTGACCTAAAGCTGACCTAGAGCTGACCTAGAGCTAACCTAGAGCTGACCTAGAGCTGACCTAGAGCTGACCTAGAGCTAACCTAGAGCTGACCTAGAGCTGACCATGGATCTATAATAATAACTGGATAGAGTATTACTAGCTTAAAGCTGTCCCACCCATGGGCAACTCAATGTAAACTAAAACAGCTCGACCTCAGCTGACAGAGAACCTAAAGAGAACCTGACAGAGAACCTGACAGAGAACCTACAGAGAACTTGACAGAGAACTTGACAGAGAACCTACAGAGAACCTGACAGAGAACCTGACAGAGAACCTGACAGAGAACCTACAGAGAACCTGACAGAGAACCTACAGCGAACTTGACAGAGAACCTGAGAGAGAACCAGACAGAGAACCTGACAGAGAACCTACAGAGAACCTGACAGAGAACCTACAGAGAACCCAACAGAGAACCTGACAGAGAGCCTGACAGAGAACCTACAGAGAACCCGACAGAGAACCCGACAGAGAACCTGACAGAGAACCTACAGAGAACCTACAGAGAACCTGACAAAGAACCACAGAGAATCTGACAGAGAACCTGACGGAGAACCTACAGAGAACCTGACAAAGAACAGTAGGGGTGGGACATGGGGGTGTGAGTGAGTGTGTGAGTGTGTAGTATCTAAGTGTGGTATTGTTTTATTGTATTTTTATTTCCTTAAAATCCACATGAACATGTATTGTGCATTACTGCTCATACTAAAAGACCCATTATCACAAAGGGTGAGGGGGGGAAAAATATAAAAAAATCTGTGCTGCATATGAAATTGTTATGTAAAACTTATAACCCGCACAACCCAATAAAAATTTGATCACAAAAAAAAGAACCTGACAAAGAACCACAGAGAACCTGACAGAGAACCTGACAGAGAACCTAACAGAGAACCTACAGAGAACCTGACAAAGAACCACAGAGAACCAGACAGATAACCTGACAGAGAACCTGACAGAGAACCTGACAGAGAACCTAACAGAGAACCTGACAGAGAACCTACAGAGAACCTGACAGAGAACCTAACAGAGAACCTACAGAGAACCTGACAAAGAACCACAGAGAACCTGACAGAGAACCTGACAGAGAACCTAACAGAGAACCTACAGAGAACCTGACAAAGAACCACAGAGAACCTGATAGAGAACCTAACAGAGAACCTACAGAGAACCTGACAGAGAACCTGACAAAGAACCACAGAGAACCTGACAGAGAACCAGACAGATAACCTACAGAGAACCCGACAAAGAACCTAACAGAGAACCTGACAGAGAACCAGACAGATAACCTACAGAGAACCTGACAGAGAACCTGATAGAGAACCTGACAGAGAACCTGACAGAGAACCTACAGAGAACCTGACAGAGAACCTGATAGAGAACCTGACAGAGAACCTAACAGAGAACCTGACAGAGAACCTACAGAGAACCTGACAGAGAACCTGACAGAGAACCTGACAGAGAACCTACAGAGAACCTGACAGAGAACCTGATAGAGAACCTGACAGAGAACCTGACAAAGAACCTACAGAGAACCTGACAGAGAACCTGACAGAGAACCCGACAGAGAACCTGACAGAGAACCTAACAGAGAACCTGACAGAGAACCTACAGAGAACCTGACAGAGAACCTGATAGAGAACCTGACAGAGAACCTACAGAGAACCTGACAGAGAACCTGACAAAGAACCTACAGAGAACCTGACAGAGAACCTACAGAGAACCTGACAGAGAACCTGACAGAGAACCTTACAGATAACCTACAGAGAACCTGACAGAGAACCTGACAGAGAACCTGACAGAGAACCTGACAAGAGAACCTGACAAGAGAACCTACAGAAAACCTGACAGAGAACCACAGAGAACCTGACAGAGAACCTGACAGAGAACCTAACAGAGAACCAACAGAGAACCTACAGAGAACCTGACAGAGAACCTGACAGAGAACCTGACAGAGAACCTACAGAGAACCTGACAGAGAGCCTGACAAAGAACCACAGAGAACCTGACAGAGAACCTACAGAGAACCTGACAGAGAACCTGACAGAGAACCTGACAAAGAACCTACAGAGAACCTGACAGAGAACTTGACAGAGAACCTGACAAAGAACCTGACAGAGAACCTGACAGAGAACCTAACAGAGAACCTGACAGAGAACCTGACAGAGAACCTACAGAGAACCTGACAAAGAACCACAGAGAACCTGACAGAGAACCTGACAGAGAACCTGACAGAGAACCTAACAGATAACCTACAGAGAACCTGACAAAGAACCTGACAGAGAACCTGACAGATAACCTGACAGAGAACCTGACAGAGAACCTGACAAAGAACCACAGAGCACCTGACAGAGAACCTGATAGAGAACCTGACAGAGAACCTACAGAGAACCTGACCGAGAACCTGACAAAGAACCTACAGAGAACCTGACAGAGAACCTGACAGAGAACCCACAGAGAACCTGACAGAGAACCTGACAGAGAACCTGACAGAGAACCTACAGAGAACCTGACAAAGAACCTGACAGAGAACCTACAGAGAACCTGACAGAGAACCTGACAAAGAACCACAGAGAACCTGACAGAGAACCTGACAGAGAACCTAACAGAGAACCTACAGAGAACCTGACAGAGAACCTGACAAAGAACCACAGAGAACCTGACAGAGAACCTACAGAGAACCTGACAGAGAACCTGACAGAGAACCTGACAAAGAACCTACAGAGAACCTGACAGAGAACTTGACAGAGAACCTGACAGAGAACCTGACAAAGAACCTGACAGAGAACCTGACAGAGAACCTGACAGAGAACCTACAGAGAACCTGACAAAGAACCACAGAGAACCTGACAGAGAACCTAACAGAGAACCTAACAGAGAACCTACAGAGAACCTGACAGAGAACCTGACAGAGAACCTGACAAAGAACCACAGAGCACCTGACAGAGAACCTGATAGAGAACCTGACAGAGAACCTACAGAGAACCTGACCGAGAACCTGACAAAGAACCTACAGAGAACCTGACAGAGAACCTGACAGAGAACCCACAGAGAACCTGACAGAGAACCTACAGAGAACCTGACAGAGAACCTGACAAAGAACCTACAGAGAACCTGACAGAGAACTTGACAGAGAACCTGACAGAGAACTTGACAGAGAACCTGACAGAGAACCTGACAGAGAACCTACAGAGAACCTGACAGAGAACTTGACAGAGAACCTGACAGAGAACCTGACAGAGAATCTACAGAGAACCTGACAGAGAACCTACAGAGAACCTGACAGAGAACTTGACAGAGAACCTGACAGAGAACCTGACAGAGAACCTACAGAGAACCTGACAGAGAACCTGACAGAGAATCTACAGAGAACCTGACAGAGAACCTACAGAGAACCTGACAGAGAACTTGACAGAGAACCTGACAGAGAATCTACAGAGAACCTGACAGAGAACCTACAGAGAACCTGACAGAGAACCTACAGAGAACCTGACAGAGAACTTGACAAAGAACCTGACAGAGAACCTACAGAGAACCTGACAAAGAACCTGACAGAGAACCCGACAGAGAATCTACAGAGAACCTGACAGAGAACCTACAGAGAACCTGACAGAGAACTTGACAAAGAACTTGACAGAGAACCTGACAGAGAACCTACAGAGAACCTGACAGAGAATCTACAGAGAACCTGACAGAGAACCTACAGAGAACCTGACAGAGAACTTGACAGAGAACCTGACAGAGAACCTGACAGAGAACCTGACAGAGAACCTGACAGAGAACCTGACAGAGAACCTGACAGAGAACCTACAGAGAACCTGACAAAGAACCACAGAGAACCTGACAGAGAACCTAACAGAGAACCTAACAGAGAACCTACAGAGAACCTGACAGAGAACCTGACAAAGAACTACAGAGAACCTGACAGAGAACCTACAGAGAACCTGACAGAGATCCTGACAGAGAACTTGACAGAGAACCTGACAGAGAACTTGACAGAGAACCTGACAGAGAACCTGACAGAGAACCTGACAGAGAACCTACAGAGAACCTGACAGAGAACTTGACAGAGAACCTGACAGAGAACCTGACAGAGAACTTGACAGAGAACCTGACAGAGAACCTACAGAGAACCTGACAGAGAACCTGACAGAGAATCTACAGAGAACCTGACAGAGAACCTATAGAGAACCTGACAGAGAACTTGACAGAGAACCTGACAGAGAATCTACAGAGAATCTGACAGAGAACCTACAGAGAACTTGACAAAGAACCTGACAGAGAACCTGACAGAGAACCTGACAGAGAACCTGACAGAGAACTTGACAAAGAACCTGACAGAGAACCTGACAGAGAACCTACAGAGAACCTGACAAAGAACCTGACAGAGAACCTGACAGAGAATCTACAGAGAACCTGACAAAGAACCTGACAAAGAACCTGACAGAGAACCTGACAGAGAATCTACAGAGAACCTGACAGAGAACCTACAGAGAACCTGACAGAGAACTTGACAGAGAACCTGACAGAGAATCTACAGAGAACCTGACAGAGAACTTGACAAAGAACCTGACAGAGAACCTGACAGAGAACCTACAGAGAACCTGACAGAGAATCTACAGAGAACCTGACAGAGAACTTGACAGAGAACCTGACAGAGAACCTGACAGAGAACCTGACAGAGAACCTGACAGAGAACCTGACAGAGAACCTGACAGAGAACCTACAGAGAACCTACAGCTTTCATAAAGATCAGATTTTGTGAGGATTTCAGTGTCCCTTGTCACCAGACGATGCCCAAATATGGCCGTGTTCTCCTAAACCTGGTCTCTGTGAAGTCCCATGATCTACTGA